GTTCTTGTTAATTGTTGTTGATTGATGTTGTTGATTTTGTTGTTGCATTTGTTGCGTTTTTAACTGCACTGACATTGTTGTGATAACTTGTACCTTGTAAACCGCATTGAGTCGACTGTTTGGACTGAAAAATGCGGTATAGAAATAAAGCAAATAAATAAATAAATAATAATAAAATAACAAAATATAATTGTTTATTAATCATGAAGGTAATTTTCATCCCTGTTCTTAAAATGTGCTGATTTCTTTTCATTTTTTTCTTTCATAGAATAGAAGGAACATAAAATAAAATGGACAATGATCCAGAAAAAAATTACACCTGAATGTTTGCATTCCCTTTTCCTAGCAAGATATTTCTCTTTGATTAGGAAGAAGGGAAACCTTAGTAAAAGGGAAGATTGCACAGGAACATAAAGCACAGAACCAAATGTTGGCAAAGATTTCACCTTTGCCCATCAATATATACCATCTGATGTACAAGAGAAGGAACATTCTGAAGACCAAAACTTAGAAACATTAGAACCACTTAGCTGGATCAAAGTGCACGCTCACTTAAGCTTGCACACTCCTTATAGCAGTGTCCAGCCACAATCTTCTTGGGTGCATTCAGAAGCAAGGCATAAGAAAGACTGTCATTATTTATTGGCACATTGTTACAGAATAGGTTAATAGCCATGGGTAAATTTGTGCTGTGTGAACTGTTTAGCCCTTGTTTAAAATCATCTAAGTTCATAAATACATATTCATTCCTTGATGGTGCCACACCATGTGATGCTTTAAATAGGAGAAAGATTCATTTCTAATCAGACACCACACACAAGCACTAGAAAATCAGCTCACGTTAAGCATAATGTTTTAACCACTTCATACAGTAATATCGAAATCATCAAGCAGGAAATACTGGGGTGGTTAAAGTTTAGTCATTTTAAAAGAGAGCTATTGAATTCAATGAGACAAATTAGTCATTCTAGAATTCCATTGATTTCAGTGTGCCTGTTTCAAGTATGACTAATAGGAATCAATCTACTATGATACATTTATCAAACCCTATACATATTTGTGAAACTAGTTTTAAGTTAGTGGGCATGAGATGATCTTGTGATAATTCCCACATATAGTCTAAAGCAGTGGTTCCCAACTCTTTTTTTTTTGACCAGGGACCACTTTGACCAGGAATCACTTTGACCAGGGACCACTCTCCAACATTAGTACCATAAGGGTTATGAATCAGTTTTTGGTCAACTTTAGATTCAGTTTGGGGTGTTAATTCAGAAAATTGCATTGGATAGACCACATCAGCTGTAGTTTCTGATACAGAACCTATGCCATGGTCAGCGACAGGGAAGGAGCGACAGGTGGTGCAAATGGAGAAGAAATAAAATAAAATAAAAAAGGAAGGAGGAGGCTCGTGGACCAGATTTTCGTCCTTGCGGTCTATAGGTTAAAAACCACTGGTCTAAAGAAATACCCAATTTAACTGATGACCTGTTGCTTTTAATCATCTCACTTTCTGATATTTGGAAAAGTAAAAAAGTAAATTCTCTATAATATTATTGTTTTTATAAATCTTTATAATGTCCCCAGTCTAGGACCAAGAGCTGTTAATCTTCCTTTCTCTACTTTCCATTCTGATGCAATTTCATGTTTGAGATGGTTTCATTTATTACAAATAGCTATGTCAATTCACTTAGAAGATATTCAGAGTAGTGTATAGCTTTAAAGCGCAAAAGCTTTACCTTTTGCACTTTAAAGGGCAAGTAAAAATGCCTACATTTTAAATGTGTACCAAAAGGGACCAATTGTCCTCTGGGAGAGCACTTCATGACCAGAAACAGCCACTTTTCTAGTTGTGACATGCTACTTACTTCAGAAGGTTGGGTACAGAGCTAGGAGGAAGGTTTTGAGGATGAGCTCAGAATCACAATGGATTGATGCAGGAGCATCCACATCCTGGGCCAACATGGGCTTTAAAGGTAAGAACGAACACTGCTAATTACACCAAAAAGCAGTTATTTCAAGACTGTTGAACTATGTTCCATTTGACTGCTCTCAGCAATGTACCAAGCCACTCAAAGGAATTCCACAGGGAAACATCAAGAGAAGATACAATGGTGATGAAGTAATATGGCTCCTCTTTCTCAGAACTGGCAAAGAGTAGGTACTGGGATGGTCTCTGTGCCTGGCTGGATTCACATCACATTTTCTGCCAGCTGGCCATTTTCTGTTTTTGCTGGGAAAATAGAGCTGAACAAATTTTATCCATTGGAAGAGAGTGCCTGTATCAGCTCTCAGAACAACTAGGAATTCCAAGGAATGATCAAGGCATCGACAGCAGTGTCCATTATTCATAATTTGCAACAGATCTTTTGTGGTGAAGACGGGATCTTAGCTCCTAGAATCCTTCTGCTTGTATGACTGTACAATAAGCTCTACAGTTGTGTCAACCTGAATGACACATGGGATGTGCTATAGATTTATTTAATGGCACAATGCGTGACATTTTATTTCAGCTTCTTCTCCTAATAAATCTTTGGATGTAGGTTCTCATTACAATGTAACAGTATCATTGCCATTGTGTCAAGGCAAGCATGAGGCATAGTGCAGTTAAGAGGCAGATAATCACTAATGCCTATTTATGTGCAGAATGATGTTGAGTAGGTGACCTGATTTAACAAACAAAAACAAACAAACAAGCAAGACTGATCCTCTGCTTTCTTGAAGCCTGGGCATCATCTCTTTACTTGCTCACTCCCATGTTAGCCCATGCTATAAGATTCAGAATTCTGTGACATCTAAAATATGAGCGCCAGTACATGTATATGCAAATCTAGATTTTATTGGTAAAGACATTTGCTCCATTCCCTCCCTGGCCACAAGAAACCATGCTTATTCTTGGAAGAGTAAAGACTTGGGTCAGTTCCAAAAGTACTATAATGTGAAGTTGCTTCCATCCATCTTTCTCAAACTTTCTGTGTGTGCATGTATACAGAAGTTTACATATTGAAATGCACACCTACACTTATTCTAAATAAAGTGCACAAGGATCTCCAGCTACATTTGTCTATTTATGAGTTGTGGATTTAGCTAAATGTTGAGGAGCATCTCCAACTGTTTCCAGAATGTTTAGGTCCTTCAGGCCAATGGAAAGAAGTTGGTGGCAATGGTTATGGATGCCATTCTACTATTCCATTCCAGTTGGGTTACCCGACTGTGGAGACTTTGAAAGTATTTTTCTAAGTGGCCACTGCCATGCTGTATCCTCTCTACCTCACTTGGAATCTGAGAATGAAGATGGATGTTTGATGTTTGAGTTCCTGACTATTAATAGTCTAGCTTGCTGTTGACCTACTCAGCCTGAAAGACAGTTGCACCTGTCAGGTAGGAAATTTAGGTACCGCTTTAGGCAGGGAGGCTAATTTAACTAATTTATGACACAATAAAACCTTCCAGCAGCGTGCGTAAGAATGGTGAAGTACTCCATCAAGAATTTGGTGTCACAAGTGAATAGTGAAGCGGCAGCTCCCCCTGTGGCCAGAATCGAGCATACCCTTATGAAGCTGTAAAACTGGAATGTTAAATTGCCTCTTTGTCTGTCTATATATGTGGTATGTCTAATTGAATTAAATGTTTGCCATGTATATGTGCATTGTAATTCACCCTGAGTCCCCTGTGGGGTAGGAAGGGCAGAATATAAATACTGTAAATAAATAAATAAATAAATAAATAAATAAATAAATAAACAAAGTTTATAGTGGGGGGGGGGGGGGTTAAGCAGCTCCACAAACCAAAATGTCACATGGTGCTTAGATTCAGGAATAGCTGATTTAAAGCAATATCTGAAAACAGATAATTCATTTCCCTATCTTAAGTGAGGTCTCATAACATGTATATACAGGAGGGAGGCATTTCCAAATATCAAAATGCTCTGCTTTCAAGGTGGGGTGTTGTCAAAGGTGCAACTATGCTGCACTTTTGTACAGCACTGCAATAGTAAAAACCCTTCTTTTCAGCAGGTGCATTATAAACCCAAGATTAAGTACAAGGACTTGAATGCAGCTCTCTTTTCCCAGGGAGAGCTAGATAATATGCTGGTTTCCCACACCAGTGCTTTTTCATGACAATTTTTGCAAAGCTAGTCTGGAATAATGGTTACGAAAGCAAAGGCAGCTGTGCGGCTTGTGGCTGCTGCACTACAGATCATGCTTGACAAAGCAAGAAAGGTAATAACAAATCTGTATTCTTGCAACACATTAGCCAATAGTTCAGGGTTTGATTTAAAAGGAAATCTTTCCACATTGGGTAAGAGACCTACAAAGCAATAGAAATGCCCCATTTGATGCCTCAGATGAAATATAATTATGTTTCAGGGTTTTATGTTTTAAAAAAGATCTTCCCTTAGCTTTTCTCACCATATTCAAGGACATTTTGTTTTTGTACACAGACTTCTGTAGCAAGCCTTTTGTACATTTGCTAGATTTATTCGTTTTGACCAATATGATGTACCTCAAGTTCAAAGCTAACATTTGGACAAAAATAGTGTTTCCTCTTTCTCTATTCTGATTGACACGAGTAATCCATGGGCAAATTAGTGTTTCATCAGTTCATTTGGATGACTTGCCTAATATTTGTCAGAATTCATATGGTTTTAAATGGCATGGCAATTCAGAAATAGATTGCATATTTATTCAGCAATAGTTGTATTGGCCCACAGCCTGGGAAACTGTGTGTGGTCTAGCCCAGTCTAAATACTCCAGCACTGCAACAGTCCTTCCTTTTGTGTGGGAAGGGGAAAAAATATTTGGCTCTACTTGTATGGGTTTCAGTTCTCTGGTGATACACATTAAGTTGCAACCCACCTCTTGAGGGTGTTGCTGTTGTTGTTGTTATTTGTATTCAGAGGCTACAAATGAAAATGACATGTTCATATTGAATTGTCACAATTCCTAGAGTCTCCTGTGACAAAGAGGATGCCTCACCTGATAACATAAATTTAAAACTTTTTAATAATCTCTTCTTCTGTCAAAGTATTTAACCCATTGCTGTGGACATGCTTTTACAAAAGAGCACCTAAGCTTCTCACACTTAAACGCATCCTCCATACTTTCATCTAAGCACTTCCAGTATTCATCTCTGTCCCTGCCAATCAGTAGTTTGGAACAGGTTGGCACAATCTAACTCAAAACAGAAGAAACCTATTGTAGAAATGTTTATTTGTTGAGTAATCATTGTCTAAATGTCTCTATGTGTATGTATTTATAAGTATTGTTGCTTTTCCTTTTGTGTGCTTTTTGTTGTGAAGGATTTTAATTAAAATATTGGGCGAGAGAAGGAGGAATAATATGACACAGCAATGCCATTTTTGGAAGCAACCCCAGGTCATCCATAACTGCTAGCTTCATCTTCAGAAGTAAATATACAGGTGTAAAATATTAGAGGACTATAAATATATTCCTGCCACTAGGGGAAGAAAATGAAGTTGTGTATACATACATTTCATCCCCATCATCTGAAATATGAAGATAGGATAGCTATTGATACAGTGTAATATAACACAGAGAGACAAAGGCACACAGAAATGGAGCAAGAGAGAGAAGAAGGCAGGGTAAATGAATGTTGGGAAAATGAGATTTACACATGGGTGGAAATGGGAATAAAACTGAGTAACATCATTGCAACTGCTCACAAGTAATGCAATACACTGGCACAGAATACTCTGGGTAATAAATAAGAAAACAGAAATTCTAAGAATTCTCTATAATACAATCAATATACAAAATGTGTATATTACAAAGTCAGAACAGTAGGGATAACATTAGATTAGAAGACCAATGAAACCAGAAGGGGGAAGACAAATGAGAGATTGACCTGTATGCTATATATTACAACCAGCACTCTCAGGACTGACGGAAGACCAGAGAACCTTAACTAAAAATGTGTTGATGAGCAAAGTGGCCTTTTCAAGCCTGTCCCTCACCATTTATGAAATAGAGTTCTCACAGTATTTCTCTCAAACAGCTGCTGTTTCCTCTCTACCTCACTTAGAATCTGGAGTAGAATGACGATAGATGGTTATGTTTTGGGTAGCTTTTTTTTTTAGCAGCTACAGGATCCAAACTGTCACATGGTGCTCAGTTTCAGGAACAGCTGATTTAAAGCAATTTCTGAAAACAGATATTCCATCTCCTGGTCTTAAGTGATGTCTTGTAGCATTTTATATACAAGAAGGAGGCGTGTGCAAGCATAGACTGCTCAGCTTTCATGGTGGAGTAAGCTCCCGCTTGCTAATTCGAGGGCTTTAATGCTCCAGTGAATATGGAATCCAAAGTGATACTATATTTTAATCCCTTTCTCTCTCAACAGCACGTAAAGCTCCCCCTCCTCCCCATATCCACATGCAAATTCCCTCACACTCACATATATCACACCCACACACAATCACTCATATACCAAGAAATATAAACATGTACTCCTACAGCACAGATTTAAAATCAGTGGTTTCCTCCCCCCTGTGATTGGTTCCACTCTTCCACTGGCAGATGAATAGGGAAAACATGCATTGTGCTAGGCTGTGCGGGAGGGAGGCATCTTTGTGCTAAGCTTGGAGGCTGGGCTCATTGGGTATCAAAAGGACCCCCTCCAGAAGCATAGCTCTGTGATCTTCCATGACAATGAACTGAAGGGTTCAGTAGCACAGCTCCTCATTGTATTGTCCTACAGGATTATTCTTATTCTCACCCATTCCCCTGGATCCCATTTCCCCCCTGTGTTGGTATGGTTCCTGACTCAGCCCCAAGGCTTTTCAGTCTAACAGTAATCTCAGCACAGCAGTAACATGTCATTCCCTTATTATCCCACTCAGCATGATTCCTTTTTAATTGAGAAATTAAAGGTGCCTGTCCTTAAATGCTCAAACATAGAAACTGAGAAAAATCAGAGATATCAAGTATTTGATTCCTTGCTTCCTTTTTCTCTAATTTGCACCACTACCTCATTTTCCAGATCCACTGTCTTGTGTGTGTGTGTGTGTTTGGGGGAGGGTGTTACAGGTATGCTTGAGGTTACATACAGAAATTCATACACTGAGCCAGGCCCGTAGCCAGGATTTCGTTTCGGGGGGGGGGGGGGCTGAATTTTTTTTTAAGGGGGGGTTCGGGGGGCTGAGTTTCGGGGGGGGGGCTGAGTCTGAGTGAAAGAGGGTCTAGCCTAGCAAACTTTTTGTATCATTACCCCAATACCCCCATGCATATGGGATATATTGAGTATGGTGATCAGATCATGATATGAATAAACATAACAGTTTAAATAATGCACCAGTAAGGCCTTTTCGCGAACCACCATGAGAATTTCGGGGGGGGGGGGCTGAAGCCCCCCAAGCCCCCCCCCCCCCGCTACATGCCTGCACTGAGCCAATTGCTTTCACTACTTTGACTCAAAGACCCCTTATACACTGCCATACAAAATCCAGATAATCTTCTTTGAACTGGATGATCTGGCAGGATATGTTGATTATATGCTTTGAAAATCTGGGTTATATGGTAGTGTTGAAGGGGCCAGACTACTAGTGAAAACATATCCTACATTCTTTTTAAATGGAGCCCCATGGCTGTCTGTGCTAATTGGCCTTAGTTTACTCCTTGCTTTGCTTCTACTCCACCCACCATCCCAAAAACCTCTGTGCCATGAGCTCCAGATGGTTATTAATGGGGCCAAGGCAAGTGTTCATTAGCAGAAAAATCAATTGTAGGGAATGGCACAAAGTTCTAATGCAACCTTGGGCTGGAATGGCAGATGCAACAGAGATCAGCAGGGAGGATGTTATCGATACCTAGGAGGGAGTTTTATCATTGCTCCTCTCCCACTGTCTCATTTATGTTCCTATTAAAAGCAGGTGGTCAGGTTCCTACAAGTAACAGGTAGAGAAGAATCTTTGCAGAAAAACAGTTCTTAATACCTCTCGCTTAGAAGAAAGATGTACTCAATGGTCATCAGCCTCCCTCAACTTTTAGGGATATAGTCTCTGAAAGATGTACAATATATAATTTCCCACTTTACATTTTATATAATATGGATAAATAGTAATAGAATTCAAAAACATCTGGACATCAACATTCATGATATAATGAAGACAAAGGTTCCTGACTGCTTTCATACCAGGCATTCTCTCTGTGTGTATGTGTACAGAAGTCATAGCCTTTGCTGGATCCACTATAGCAGTGGTTATCAATCTGTTGTTCCCCAGGTGTTTTGGCCTACAACTCCCAGAAATCCCCACTGTTCGGATTTCTGGCATAGTTGAAGGCCAAAACATCTGGGGACCCACAGGTTGAGAACCACTGCACTATAGCTTTTAGTTGGAATACCCTCCTTGGAATGGGGGTTGGCTGCCATGGTGTTACGTGTAATCCCAAGCCCTTTTATGAGATGTATTAAGCAATAATTTGTGCTTTGTCAATGTGGGCTGATTCCAACAAAACAGGTGCATGTAAAACTGGTTTGCGGAGTTGGGCACTCTGCTAGTTGAGTTATATAAGAATTTTATATTTGCTGAGTTATATCAGCCCATCAATTGTTTCTCAATACCCTTTAAGAAAGCATTTTCCTCAGCTCCTATATCTTAAATTCTTCACAATGGAGAGAGTGGAAAGGAATGTGGGGCCTTCCTTCTACATGCAAAGTTTATATGCAACCACTGAGCTACAAGCCAGATGTAGTGAAAAAAGGGGCAGTCACCAGCCTTGGAACCAACCTTTGTAACCATCCAGTGACCCCAGCAAGGGCCCCAAGATGCATAGGAGACACATTATTTCAAAAAGTATTACTGGGGGCAATTTTGCCATCCCCCAACCCATTACATGATTGAAAACATGGAAACCCTCATTCACAGAGCCAGCCAGCTAAGTACCTCTTCCTTTTTTTTTTTTTGGCCATGTGTACAATTTTGGCAAATATACAGCTGAAGAAGAAAATCTGTTTGGGGGAGCCAGCACAGCCCAGAGAGGTAAATTGGACTCCATTCTACTTGCACATCCCAGGTATAGGTCTTCCTCCAAGAGTATTTTCCTCTAAGAGCCCACCCCAGTGACAGGGCTTTCTGCATTGCTGTCCATAAATCATCTCATGTTTTATCAGATCTCTCTGAAAACCTCTTAGGGACCAGTTAACATAAGTCTGGGTTACAAGTTTTTCACACCAATTATGGGGTACTGGGGTAATGGAATGTTTAAAAGTCTTTTCACTGTGCTTGTTGAGTTATGACATGGGAAGGGAATGATGGGCCTTGACTTCCAGTGTGCTTTCACACAGGTGTGCAGAAATGATGCAGTAGCCTTGTGCTTTTGCATCACTGGGCAATGTTGCAAAGTTCTTCAACACTTTGCTGAACATTTCTGCAAACAGCTACTACATACATAAATAACTTGAAGCTGAAAATGTTTTATGAAAGGCTGTATTTTCTCTTTGTCTGAATGTGTGAATAATTTTTTTATGGATGGATGTCAGTATAGAATAAAAATGTCATGGGTAAATCTATAGAGATTTATACTGTGTGTCTGTGTGTGTGTTACATGCAGTAGATTTTCACATAGTATTATGTATTTGTTCTGTAGGCTGAACACCATTCTGCCTCTCCCATTTTGCAAAAGACAGAAACCAGCACAAACAGTAGATGACATAAAAAGGCAACATGCCATTTACATTTACTTGAGGAGAAAAACAATTGGCATTTTACCTTCGTCTTCCTCCTCCCTTTCCTCAAGGAAAGATCATGAAGAGGCAAGAAAACAACTATTTTAGTGAATGTCAAGGAATGACTGAAGAGGAGAGGGTTTTGTGGATTGATAGGTAGAAATACCAATCCATGGTTCACCGTGTATGGAGGAGGACAAGAAGAAGAATGGAGCTGATAAATCGATATAATTGGATGATCACAGAGAAATTGTTCTAGTTCTTCATCCACAGATAGAGAGGGAAATTGCTTGGTAAGGAGGTACAGGAAAGGAATTGACAGACAAATGACTCTGGTTCCACATCCTTTGGTCATGCTGCCCATTCCTACAAGTCACTTTGATCCCATTTGTTCTCACATCCTTCCTGTGCCATTACAATGCAGAGATCCCTTCTGCTTAAACAGAATCCAATGTCTTAAATCCTGTAGTCAAGACTAAAATCCTATGCACATCTTGAGTAAAGTAAAAGCTCTACTGCATACAATACTTCAAGTAAATATGACCAGAGTTATATTTAACAATGAGATCCTAAGCAGATTTCTAATAAGATGTAAGCACATCTTATTTATTTGTATGCATATGGAGGGTTAGGTTGTGTCTTCGTATCTCCCGTCAACTTTTAGTGATCCCATCAATTTCATAGTGTTTTCCCAAAGAATATTCAGAGGTAGTTTTGCCAGTCCCTTCCTCTGAAATACAGCACCTGACATTTGATGGTGGTCTCCCATCCAAGAATTAACCAGGGCTGGCTCTGCTGACCATCCAAGAGCAGATGTGGTCCAGTGCCTTTAGGATAGTTAGACCCTCTCCTTTATGCTAACAAAAAGTACTCGATGTATTGTCAAAGGCTTTCATGGCCAGAATCACTGGGTTGTTGTAAGTTTTTTGGGCTGTATGGCTATGTTCCAGAAGCATTCTGTCCTGACATTTTGCCTGCATTTATGGCAGGCATCCTCAGAGCATACCTCACAACCTCTGAGGATGCCTGCCATAGATGCATGCAAAACGTCAGGAGAGAATGCTTCTGGAACATGGTCATATAGCCCAAAAAACTTACAACAACCCAAAAAGTACTCAATGAGACAAACTGTGGTAAAATCATATAAAAAACAAAAATAATTAAAATGACACAATTAAAATGTCTTTAAAATTAAAGACAATAAAATTCAAAAATAAAAAGAAATTATTACCACCCAATCAGTCAAAGCCCATCTCCACAACTCTACTTAGAGTGCATTTACACTATAGAATTTATACAATTTGACAGAAAACTACACAACTAACTCTTCCACCTTATTTTTTTAAAGATATCTTCCTATGGGGTTATTTCAGATATACATTTGGGTATCAGATCTTTGTGAATCACCTCTCTGGCACCATAGCCAACATTTTGGGCCCAAGGGATATCAATAAAGGAAACAGGACAATTCAAAGCCTTGGGCTATGAGAAATTCATTTCCATACAAAGTCTTGAAGCTCATACTGAGCCTGCTCCCATTAGGCTCTGGCCTACTTTCTCACCTTAACAGCATTAAATAGGAGAACCATGCAGTGGAGGAGTTAAGTTCTAGCCCTTACTCTCACCCTAAATTATTTTTTCCAGTCAATTAGAATGAGATAATTAGCTGGAGAGGATGTTAGTCCCCAGGACTCACTACTGACCCTCATTCCAGTTCCAGACCAAGATTTTCCTTAAGAAATGTGAGAACTTTTAATTAAGTGTGATGTCTTCTTTGGTGGAGCTTATTTGCTGGAGCTCTGTCAGTATGTTGGGTGCATGGTTATATTCCACAGTAGGGAAAAATCACATGAGGATAGGGAAAGCATTGAGTCCACTGGCAATAATGAGAAATTACCATCAGCAAGATACAAAAAGAAACACTTCAGTAGGAGACAAGTAACAATTACAGGAAAAATAAATATGGAGCTGTATTATGTAAATGTGATGGAACCAGTGATAGACTATAATACTAGAGACCAGAGCTTAAATCTCAGTTCAGTCATGGGAATCCATTGGAGTCAAATTGTCTTGTCCTTCATCAGAAAGCAATGGGACATGTCCTTTCAATAACTCTTACCAAACTTTATGGTAGAGTCAACATACATCAGAGATCACTTGGAGACACATAACAACAAAAACAAGTGGCAAGTGCATGCCAGAGCAGCAGCACAGCATTAGATGGGAATTTTGGATGAGCAAAGGCAAAACCAGAAATGCATGCCCATTGAGGTTTTGGAAAGTAACTGTGCAATAGGTATTAAGCTAGGGAGGCAGATTCAGAATTTAATCCTAGGATAATCACTCATATTTAGGGTTACTATGATAACATAGTACACTTTGTACACTAAAATTTAATACACCAGCCTTTGGTAATTTGATACATTGAGCCTTGTTATAAGCTTCTTATGCCTTGATATGACTTCAGAGAACAGTAGCCAGATTGTGTGTTTTTCTAAAGAGATCGATCAGGAGACACTTTTTGGCGCAAACTTTGCTGGTCCTTCTCATCTTCTAATGACTAAGGTATAACCCCTTGTGCCATGCTGGAAGAAAGACAACAATCACATTTCTCTGCCTGGAGCCCCGTAAGATCCACAAAGCTTTCATAGAAAGGGTTATACAGAGTTATACAAACCCATCCAATAACTTTCATAAAAGAGTTATACAGAGATGGCTGGGTCAAAGAGAACTGTGTAACAAAATTTGGGGGGGGGGGGAACCTGTTCCTGGTTTTAAAGTTTTATTTCCTGTTTAATTGTATAGTACTTACTACGAAAATAGTTGTTATACTCCAGAAACTTCATTTTTGTGGCGGTCACAAACTATGTTGACTTGGTTGAGACTCTATGAGATATTCATTGAAAAACTATAGCAAGATATGCGGCAGGATGTCTTAAAGAAGCAAAGTTTTTGCAGTGAAATAACCTTTTCCCATGTTTTTATGATAGAACCAACTAAGAAATGACATTTATAACCTAGGAACAAAAATCGTGTTACATAGTGTAGTTAAACACTCAGCTGATTCTTTTTTTGCTAGCTTGAATTTTAACTAGCTTGAAGAAACTGAAGCTATCTGCCCTTAATTGTGACCTTGGATGTATCATATACTATCAGCCCCAGAAAACTACAGGGCCTCCACAAGTCAGAAACATGGGTAAACAGAACAAACCAGTGCGTTTAATTAGAGAAATGAAAAATGTTGGTGACACGAGTATAGATGGCGGCTGAACAAAATGTGCAGTGCTGTCAAGACCCATAAGTTTAGGTAGCACATTCTGGATTTGGGGTGCAACAAATGAAAATGATATACACTCATCCTCTGTCATAAGAAGAGAAGGGTGTGCTTGCAGCCCCCAGCAGCTCTCATTGGGTAGTAGAGGCCAGAGATTAGGGGGGAAATGGCAGCTTATGAATCCTGACTCTTCCATTATTATTGATGGTTGATCTTGAGTGCTCCTCAGCAGAGTAAACTTCAAGTTTCATATGCTCTTTCCTCTTCTCAGCCGTTGCTTAATAGCAAAGTCTCAGCTAATTAATGCTGGGTCACCACCAGAAGGAACCACAGTTCAGCAGAGAGCACACATTTGTATATATGGACCCATATTCATCTCCAGAAGAAACCAGGTATTAGTGATGGGGAAAACAGCTACCTGAGAACCACA